CATTTTAGACGTGATAAGTTCACAACATTCAACACCAAAAACATCCAACACTAAACTTTTATATACCAATATACAACCATGGAAAACAATTTGGAGACCACCAAAAATAAATTTTCTTGTAGAATTTTAAATGATCTATTGTCATTTACAGTGTTTGCTTGTTTAGGAAAAAATAAATTGTCAGGATATCAAATGTTTTGAATTTGTTGTGATTGACGCTGAATTATCCACTAATTAAGATTACAATTAAAAGTTTAGTTAAATGTTCAATACTCACAAGAGTGTGTTGATCTGACAGTGTTTATCCTGCAGTAAAGCAGAGAGTTGGTTCACTCGCCTGTCTCCTAGTTTACAATCACTCAGATTCAGTTCTTTAAGGAGTAACGGGTTTTTACCCACAACTCCAGGCACAAACTGACAGGCTTCCTCTGCAGCAGTACTCAAAAACCTGAAGAGAGGATCAGACAGGAGTCAGACCTATATATTATACTGCAGAACACCAGCACATCTACTGACTGGGTTTATACTGTAATTTGTCATCAATAGAACAAATATCAAAAAGTAGGGCTGGGCAACACTTGAAATTGTTAATCTAGATTGAGTCACATGTTTTTTGTGATTATTCGCATTGTTATATTATTATTATTTAAAGGTGCAGTAGGTGATCTGCCAAAAAGCTAATCGCTTAGCATATTATCTTTGGACGGCGGGGAGGGACTGTGATTCAAAGCCACACCCCCTGAAAACGCGAGCGCGCAACAGCCGACAGACAACCCACTAGTTCATGTCATTCGCCAGTTAGTTAGTGCCAGCACCGTGCAGGAATTACATTTATTATACTTAGCCAAACTTACATGCTATTTCAGAGCAAATATTCAGAGTAGCATGGTAAACATAGGAAGGCTGTCAATATAAGGCTGTGAATATAAAAGCAACTTCAGCTCAATAAAGCAGGTTAGGCGGAATAGCGCTATTTACTGGTGTTTTGTTGTTAAACTAAATATAAATCTACATTATAGATGCTGTCAAAGAAGCTTGTGAAACTGAAAATAATCACATCAATCTTTCACCAGGAGATTTCAGTGGCTAAACAACACGTCTGTGCAAATAAGTCATTCATAACAAAACACAATCTAACAAAATAGTTTCAAAACAGAACATTACCTGTCTAACAGTAATACTTCAGCCATGGTGTCGTCCTTCCTCCAGCGTGTTAAAGTAACTCTAATATTGATTCAGGTATTTTGAAAAGTTTCAATTCAGCATTTGATTTCTCCCGTTCTGTCTCGTGACCGCGCGGCTGCTTTAAGAGCGAATTATACCCGCGCCTGGCTTTACAGTAATCGGCCCGAGCTCGGCTGTCCTTCGGCGCCTCCGGCTCGGCATCTGCAAGCAGCCCGCAGCTCGCTCGCGCGCATATATGCATTTGTGATGCAGACGGGCACGCGCTAATAGCAGATCTGCGTGAACACATGCGCAGAAGTTGGAGTCTACATTTGCTGACAGACAGTCTGACCAGCTTATCGGAATTAAGGGAGATGACGGTCCGACTCTATTTAATTGGATGAACATTTTTTTGTTTTATGCTTTACCCAGAATATAAAAATACATATAAACACATTTAGATCATTTACCGTAATCATTACTATTGGACTGTGAAGAGACTTTCAACCAGCACAACAAAAAATGTTTCTGAAGACAATCACCTACTGCACCTTTAACAATTTTTAAATGTAGTGCATTTCAAAAGTTCTTTCAATATGATTTGTCTGTGTCTGTTCAATGCCAGTGAGCAATGGATTTTTATGATGATAATAAAAATAATAATAATACTGCATTAACAGGTGATAAAATGTAAAAAATAAATAAAAATAAAATAAAAAAAATTGTCTCCATTAATTAATGATGTGTACCATGATAACATGCCCAGTATTAAATTAAAGCACAAACTGATCATTCGAACCTGCATTAAACCAATAATTGCATCACAAGGTTTTGGGCAACTAAAATAAAATTCTGTTTTGATATCTGACGTCTAACTTTATTTTTTTCCTTCAGTCTCACCTTAGTGTCTTCAGTGTACAGTGTGGATCCTGCAGTAAATCAGTGAGCTCCTTCACTCCTGATTGTCCAGGATCATTTCCTCTGAGATCCAGCTCTATCAGGTGTGAAGGGTTTGATCTCAGAGCTAAAGCCAGAGCTTTATAACCTTCTTCTGTAATACTGCAGTCTGAAAGTCTAGAGGAAAGGAGCTGCTACAATTAAGTGAATATTACATCAACACTGAAGATTCACAGCTGAACCATATTGAAACAAAAAGTAAGCTGATGAGAGAAGCAGCAAAGAGAATACAGCTAAAAATAAATAAAACAATTAATGAATTTACAGCTATTAATAAACAGTTTATTCCACGGTTAGTTAAAATTATTGATTCTGAATGGGTGTTACGTGTGCAGTATTGTAATTTAATGCACAGGTAGATGCAGTCAGTACTTCCCTTAAACATTAGCAGTAATTACAGTAACTCTGTGATGGTTGCTAGAGACTTCATTCATCTGTGTAATCTTGAGGAAATTGACACATGCTTCACTAGAGAGCTTATGGAAATCAACCGGTTTGCAAAAAGAATTTAAAAATTTGGAAAGAGGTAGATAACGTAACTATGAGATATTGGATTTGCTGTTGTCATTTACATGCACACAATTACATTCACTCTCACACTCTCTCTCTGTCTGTGACTGATCCAAAGTGGCGAGATAAAAACATTTGGTTAAATATCATGCTGCAAACAGCAATACTAGTTAACGCATTTAAAAAAATGTCAATCATCACAGATTTTACCTTAGTATTTCTAACTCGCACTTAATATCTTTCAGTCCAGTGCAGAGCAGCTTCACTCCTGAATCCTGCAGATTGTTATTGCTCATGTTCAGCTCTTTCAGATTGTTTTCTTCTCCGAGAACTGCAGGCAGAGCTGAACAGCTTCTGTCTGTTAAGTTACAATCATTTAACCTACAAGAGAAGAAAATACAACTACAGAATTAGGTGGCACAACTTTACACACACTTTCGTTTATATTGACTGGCTTACAGAGCTTTTCTGGTAGTTTTGATAACTGCTGATAGTCTGATGAGACACTCGTCTGATTTCTTGAATTTCTGAAGCTCAAACTCCTCCATCTTCTCCTCTGATGTCAACAACACAAAGGCCAGAGCAGACCACTGGGCAGGTGAAAGATCAACAGATGAGAGACTTCCTTTGCTAAGGTGAGTCTGAATCTCTTTCACCAGAGTTTGGTCGTTCAGTTCATTCAGACAGTAGAACAGATTGATGGATCTCTCTGGAGAAAGATTCGCTTCAAACTTCTGCTTGATGTACTGAACTATTTCCTCTTTGATCTGGTTATTGTGGTCTTGCTGTGTCAACAGACCTCGTAAGAGCCGTTGATTGGACTGGAGAGACAGACCGAGAAGGAAGCGAAGGAAAAGGTCCAGGTGTCCTTTGTCACTCTCTAGTGTCTTGTCCACTGCAGTCTTTAGCAAATCAATCATGGACTCATTTCTGTTTTTAGAGTCTTGATCAAACACACTTTTCTTGTTGATGTCTAGTAACAGATGTGCATAAAGGGCTGCAATAAACTCTTGAACGCTCAAGTGAACAAAGCAGTACATGGTGCCAAGAACAATCCCTGTTTCCTCCTTAAAGATCTGGGTACACATGCCTGAGTAAACTGAGGCCTTATAGACATCAATACCACAGGCTTCCAGGTCGGTGTCATAGAAGATCAGGTTGCTGTTTAGCAGATTATCAAATGCCAGTTTCCCCAGTGAAAGGATGGCGTCTTTATCCCAGGACACATCTGGTGTGTATTCTCCATCATACTTTCGTCTGCTCTGCTGGATCTGAAAGTGCAGAAAGTGTGTGTACATCTGTGTCAGAGTCTTGGGAGTGTCTTCAGTGTTTGATTCCTGCAGTGTTTTGAAGGCGTCATCAGCCTGATTGTTTTTCACAACGGTATTTCTCTTCTCCTCTAAAATGTTCTGGAGAACAGTGGCTGAAATCCAACAGAAGACTGGGATGTGGCACATGATGAAGAGACTCTTTGATTGTTTAACATGATCAATGATTTCTTTGGCCTGATTCTCATCTGTGAATCTTTTTCTGAAGTACTCCTCCTTTTGCTCATCATTGAATCCTCGTATCTCTGTCACTCTGTCGATACAGTCAGGAGGAATCTTACTGGCAGCTGCTGGTCTGCTGGTGATCCAGATGAGAGCAGAAGGAAGCAGATTTCCCTTGATGAGGTTCGTCAGGAGAACATCCAGAGAGGCTGGTGATGCAACATCTAGACACGTCTCATTACCAGCAAAGTTCAGAGGAAGACGACATTCATCCAATCCATCAAGGATGAACAGGACTTTGAACTGATTCCTTCTTGTAAGGTTCAGTCCTTTCGTCTCTGGGAAAAACTGAGTTATAAGCTCCATCAAACTGAGTGTTTCTTTCTCCTTTAAGTTCATCTCTCTGAATGGAAGAGGAAATATGAAGCTGATCTCTTGATTTTCTTTTCCTTCGGCCCAATCCAGAACAAACTTTTGCACAGAGACTGATTTCCCGATGCCAGCGACTCCTTTTGTCAGGACAGTTCTGATCTGCTTGTCTTGTTCAGACGCTTCAAACAAACGTCTGCATTCAACCTGTATCTCTTGAGCTTCATGTCGTCTAGAAACAACTTCAATCTGTCTGACCTCATGTTCAGTATTGACCTGTTCACTGCCACCCTGAGTGATATAAAGATCTGTGTAGATGTTCTTCAGGAGTGTGGAGTCTCCTTGCTGTGCAATTCCTTCAAACACACGCTGATACTTCTTTTGTAGATCCCATTTCAGCTGATGAATGAGAAACAGCTCATCTACACACAAGAACAATACACTAATATAACAAGTGTTCATTTTCTCTCCTATATTTATTAATAAACTGACAGTCTGACAGTCTCTCACCTTCTAGAGTATCTGCTGCTTCATCTTGCTTCATTTCTTTCAGGAAGTAGAGTGTGAGATCAAGAGCTGCTTCTTTTATTCTGCATCTGTTCTCACCAAAGTCCTTTACAAAGTATTCTGTATTTTCTTCATGTAATATTTTCTTAAACTTTTCTAGCTCATTCTTCAGAAATTTTAATATTTGGTTCTCAAGATCCTACAAACCAACAAGAAAAAAAAAAAAAAACAAATACAATTAAACCAAGTCTACCCCTCTATATATATCTGGTCAGGATTCATAACAGGATACATAACATAAATTTAGTATTGCAATATGTATCTATTAGACACTAACATATGTAAAATAATAATAATAAAATAAAATTAAAAAGTAGCATGCCAAAATGAACACATTTTATAAAATGTGTTATAACTGTTTTTGCATTTGAAACAATAAATAATGACTAAAGACATTTTTTGTAAAAGATCCAATCAAGAAATGCATAGTTATACCATATAGCTGCTAAAGGCAAACAAAAATAAAGCGTGACAGATAAAACTCTTCACTCAGGCAGCATGTCAAGATGAAAACGTTTTAAATCAGTTTGAGAGAATATGAGATGGTCAAAAATCTGTTTCACAGTTGTTTATGAATGAAGTCAACAAAGTGTAAATATAATTTTTTTTAGACAAATAGTAAAGACTTTTAAGAATACCTGGAAGATCCCCTGAAGATTGTCTTTAAAACTCATGTGTTTTTTCTGAGTCTGGATGTCTGTGTCTGAAGACTCATTTTGAACACTGTAAGCAAATAAAATTATTCACAACATTTCTATGCATATGGAAAATATTTCATAACTATATATATAAACATCTCTAAAAAATAAAATAAAAAATTGTTTAAACCGTTCAGGTTTTAAAACTGGCAACCAAATTTCTCTACACTTTAAGGTGTTACAGAAAAGATATATAACCTGAATATGATTTCCTTTTATATATTTACAGGTATGTGCCAAAAAATGTGAGTATCGAGGGAAAGTAATAATTTAAATTAAATTTCAATAATTTGTTTCAAAAAGTGAAACTTGTGTTATATTAGTTCACTACACAAAGTTAAATATTTCAAGCTTTCATTTGATTCAATTTTAATGATTTATAATGAAAAACTCAAATCCAGTATTTCTCAAAATTAGAATATGTCAATCTAGTCCACTAATTGATGCAAAGCCCTGAAATTGTCTCAGTCTGGCTTAGCAGGTTTCAGAATCATGAGGAAGACAGCTGACTTGACGGTTGTGTAAAAGACCATCCTTGGAACCCTCCATAAGAAGGAAAAAGTCTCTAAAGGCAATTGCAAAAGAAATCGGATGCACACAAAGTGCAGTATCTAAGTATATTAATAGGAGTGTTAAGAGCAATGAAAAAATGACATGCATTCAATGTGCTAAGCCACTCCTGATCCAAAAACAACATTAGAAGCGTCTGTGCTTGGCTAAAGAAAAAAAAAACTGGTCTGTTGCACAGTGGTCCCAAGTCCTCTTTTCAGATGAAAGCAAATTTTGTCTTTCATTTGCACACTAAGATCTCAGAGTCTGGAGGAAGAGCGAAGAGACAAAAGTCAAGCTTGAAGTCCAGTGTGAATCTTCCACAGTCTGTTATGGTTTGGAGAGCAGAGTCATATGCTTATGTGGTTTCATTGTCTTTTATCGAGTCCACAGTCAATGCACCTCTGTGCAGAACGTTTTAGAGCACTTCATGCTTCCTGTTGCCGACAAGCTTTTTGGAGAACATGGTTTTATTTTCTAGCAGGATCTGAGACCCTAAATGCAGACAAGCTAAAGACTGATATCAAAGTAACTTGGGCGACCATAAGACCTTTAATACCATAATACCTTTAATTTTACCTGTTTAAAGGAAACACTCTTTTTGAATGTATCAAACAAAACTACAAATACATGCACAGAACAATGAGCATTTATAGCAAATAAACTAATGTAAATATTTTCCCGCTTGCTTTTTGAGCACTGTCCAATGAGGTCTTACAACCCTAGGATTGGCTATTGTCTTCACCTGCTCAACATAAAGGGCTGCAATTGACTTTAGAAATAAAAGCGCTCTTCACCTATGAGTGATGTGGGAAGAACAGCCGCAGTTACAGTCTGTATCGCATAATATGCAGTTATTACAGGTAATCCATAATAGACATTGGAGAAAACATGCACTACAGGCACGCTCGTGTCTGGATCCACAAGTATTGCTTTAACAGCCAAGAGGAAAGGAAAAGTTACCTTACAAACACGCCAGCGGGTAGAATGTCCAAAGTGTAATGTAATGTAATGTGCATTTATATAGCGCATTTATTGTGTATTGCCATACACCCAAAGCGCTTCACAATCACAATCAGTCTCTTTACACCACCACCAGTGTGCAGCATCCACTTGGATGATGCGACGGCTGCCACAGGACAACGGCGCCAGTGCGCTCACCACACACCAGCTATTGGTGGAGTAGACAGACAGTGATAGAGCCAATTCGGTGGATGGGGATGATTGGGAGGCCACGATCATAGGGGCCGATATAGGGACTTTGGCCAGGACACCGGGGTTATACCCCTGCTCTTTCACGAGAAGTGCCATGGGATTTTTAATGACCACAGAGAGTCAGGACCTCGGTTTAACATCTCATCCGAAAGACGGCTCCCACTGACATTGTAGTGTCCCCTTTACTTTTACTGGGGCATTAGGACTCACACAGACTGCAGGTTGAGCCCCCCTGCTGGCCTCATTAACACCACTTTCAACAGCAACCTAGTTTTTCCCAAGTGGTCTTCCATCCAGGTACTGACCAGGCTCAGCCCTGCTTAGCTTCAGAGAGTAACCGGTCTTAGGCTGTAGGGTCATATGGCTGTGGTAGTGAGGGATAGAGAGAAAGAGATGGATTTGTACAGCATTTCTCCATAGTTGTGAAATAGCGGCTCTGTGTAGGAGGATAGTAGAGCCCAACAAAGTACTGAGGACATAATACAGTACATAAACATATGTCGGCCTTCTGCAAATGTGTTAAAAATCCTTTTTTTATTGGTCACATGAAATATTCTAATTATGTGAAATACTGGATTTGGGATTTTTTCATCTTTAATCCAAAAATCATTCAAATTGAATAAAAAGAAAGCTTGAAATATTTCACTTTGTGTGTAGTGAACCGATATAACATGCGTTTCAATTTTTGAAACAAATTATTGAAATAAACTGACTTTCCCTTCATATTCTAGTTTTTTGGCACATACCTGTATGCCATATCAAAAAAGTTAATAAAGTAATTGAAAAAAAAAAGAGTAACTTTTGACGCCGGTGTCAAACAAAAATCACAATTACTGCCAATCAGCAGCAGGAGTGTGTTTAGTAAAGATTGTGCAAATATCAAAAAGGAGCAGGTATCAGATTGCTTAGTGTGCTTTTATAGTAATCAAACATTGTTTTTAGGGATTTATTAAGTCAGGTTTTATCACATACATAAAAGAGAAGAAATCAGATGAATATTTTAATAAGAAATACCTTGTGGTAGGTGACAGTGTTTCTCTACTGAAGTTTGGCTGACCTCCTTTTTTTGAATCATCACTCTTCACAGACACAGAGCTGGATACATACGAACCTGATCTTACACTGATGACACAAAAAAGAGAGTAAAAAGTGACTACAGGAGGAACTTCAAAGCACATGTCGAAATTTAGTGTGGAAATGATGTGTAACAATTTAAGAATATAGCAAGATCTCTCTCTAAGTCCCGATGAACTGATCAGACCTGCTACAATGAAACAGTCAAGTGAATTTTCACTTCTCAATCTTAGAAAAACAAATATCATTAACTTCTATGTATATTAATAATAAAATGCCTGTAACTGTGAAGTGAATGCAGCAATAATGTTCCTAATTTATTTTAGCTTGACATGTATGATAAATAACCATCATATTTAGCTCTGACAATGTGTTATGTTAATAGCCATTTCAACTGCTTTAACCTGTGGCTAAAACTAAAACAGCCCAAAACCTTTCCAAAAGATTTCGAGGATTTCCAAAAGATTTCGATGATTCACTCGCAATTAAAAAAAAGACCACAGCATACTCACCTGTGTTTCTCTGAGAGACTCATCTTTCCTCGCTCCTCTGACATGACTGCAGATCAACAGCTCAACACTGGTATCTTTGTGAAGACAATGAGATGATCATCATAAACTGAACATGACAATGAGTCTCTGAAATGCAGCTCATGATACTTCATGTAAGAAATGGAGAAAGATTAAACATATTTCAATAGCTACATTTCTATTTATCTTTTTTATGCACATTTTGGATATGCGCATAATAAAATGGTTG